TTTCTGTAGGATGATATTTAATTTTAAGGTATAAGTATTTTTAATGCAAGTTATGGTTCACGTGTTTCGCTTGACCCCTGCCAATTCATCTGTGCTACTCGATGCATTATTCGCCCTCCCCTGAGTCTGGGTGACTAATTCGAGGCTCAAGCCTTTGAGTAAGTCCCATCGTCAAGATTTTGCTAATGTACCACGTCTATGGTAAAACCTACTGTCAGCCAACTAGATCCAGTCTCCGGAGCGTCTATCCTATTTCTATCCATAATGCCAAGTCTATGACTTGCTATGCCTGAGTCTCTTGTCTGCTGACTCGCAAACGTTGTGGTTCAACATTAAATTTAATCAAAGCAAACAGTACCACAACATTTGTGGGTTAGTACACAAGAGACTAAGGCAGTGATTTCCAAACTGTGATACACAATTTTGTGTGTGCCAAATCCACAAACGTTATGGTTCATCATTGAACCTAATCAAAGCAAGCAGTACCAATTGTAACAATGAAAGCGTGACAGTAAGATAAAGATGTGAATAGCCCAGGGCAAAAGGGGAGATACCACAACTGTTTAGCACACGTTTAGTCTCTTTGACGGTGCTAGGAATGGCAAGACTCATTGCCGATGTCGACTACGATGTTGGCGAAACGTCTAGGAATGTACGACGCCCACGGTCCGACTTTGGAAACGATCATGCAAACAATGGACTCCGGACTAGGTGCGTTTCTCTAAGTCTTCCTACCAATATGACCAAGTTGCGAAAACAAGGGCAAGCAACCTCTATAAGGTTTTGTTGTCAGGATGACTTAGTAAAACGCACCTAGTCCGAAGTCGTGTGCCATAGTTTTCATGATTCCCAGCATTAGACAGTTGACTTGGTTTCGCCGGCCTCGTATTCGGCATCATCAGTGATTTTTGTCATTCACCGTACCAACTTACGAACTCGTCAAAGAGGCAAGTGAAGTCAATCCCTCGACAAACGTTTCGTCGAAAACGGTTACACTATCACTCCTCTTTCTGTTCTGGCCTATACCTTTACTCTTTACCCTCTCCTTAACCTCTATAAGTATTTTTACT